ACTGCTCAGCACAGCTCAGCTCAGCTCAGCACAGCACAGCACACCACACACAAGCCCTCATCTTCCTTCCTCCGTTCACCCACGCGCAACACATGCACGGCACGTACAGGACCGACCACATGGGGGGTACCTGGGGGTGGGAGCGCTATCCGTTTCGGGCTCGCACAGCGTGGCATGCGTGGCACTTCCTCGACACCACAGGGGGCGAGCTGGGGGTGGGAGCGCTATCCGTTTCGGGTTCGCACGGCGAGAGGGGGTGCGTAGAGGGTGGTCCTTCAGCGCGGTCTCTACACGCGCCAATGTCGCAGGGCCTAGCAGGCGTCGCATTTTCTCCACAAAAGAGGGGGTGCGCAAGGGGGTGGTCCTTCGACGCGGACTCCACACGCGCCAATGTCGCAGGGCCTAGCAGGTGTGGCACTCTTTCGACACCAGAGGGGGTGCGAATAGGGTGGTCCCTCAGCGCGGTCTCTATACGCGCCAATGTCGCAGGGCATGGCAGCGCTGGCGATTTCTCGACACCAGAGGGGGTGCGCATGGGATGGTCCCTCACCCCGGTGTTTAAACGCGCCAAAGTCGCAGGGCCTAGCAGGCGCGGCATTTTCTCGACACCGGAGGGGGTGCGCACAGAGTGGTCCCTCACCCTGATGTGTATACGCGCCAATGTCGCAGGGCCTAGCAGGTGTGGCACTCTCTCGACACCAGAGGGAGTGCGCAGGGGGTGGTCCCCCATCGCTGTCTCTATACGCAATGTCGCAGGACCTAGCAGGTGTGGCACGTTCTCGATATCAGAAGGGGTGCGACGGGGGTGGTCCCTCAGCGCGGTCTCTATACGCGCCAACGTCGCAGGGCCTAGCAGGCGTGGCACTCTCTCGACACCAGAGGGGGTGGGAGGGGGGGTGGTCCTTCAGCGCGGTCTCTATACGCGCCAATGTCGCAGGGCCTAGCAGCCGTGGCACTCTTTCGGCACCAGAGGGGGTGCGCATGGGGTGGTCCCTCACCCTGGTGTCTATACGCGCCAATGTCGCAGGGCCTAGCAGGCGTGGCACTCTCTCGACACCAGAGGGGGTGCGCAGGGGCTGGGCATGGCAGGGCATGGCAGGGCATGGCAGCGCGGTCTCTATACGCGCCAATGTCGCAGGGCCTAGCAGCCGTGGCGCTCTCTCGACACCACAGGGGGTGCGCTGGGGGTGCGGTCGCTATCCGCTTCGGCCTCGCAAAGCGTGGCAAGCGTGGCACTTCCTCGACGCCACAGGGTTTGCGTTGGGGGTGCGGTCGCTGTGCGTTTCGGGCTCGCAACGAGTGGCAGGCGTAGCATTTTTCGATGCCACAGAGGGTGCGTTGAGGGTGCGGTCGCTATCCGTTTCGGTTTCGCAAAGCGTGGCAGGCGTGGCACTTCCTCGACGCCACAGTGGGTGCGCCGGGGGTGAGGTCGCTATCCGTTTCGGTTTCGCAAAGCGTGGCAGGCGTGGCACTTCCTCGACGCCACAGTGGGTGCGCCGGGGGTGCGGTCGCTATCCGTTTCGGCTTCGCAAAGCGTGGCATGCGTGGCACTTTCTTGACGCCAGAGGGGGTGCGCCGGGGGTGCGGTCGCGATCCGTTTCGGCTTCGCAAAGCGTGGCAGGCGTGGCACTTTCTCGACGCCACAGGGGCTGCGCTGGGGGTGCGGCCCCTATGCGCTTCCGGCTCGCAACGTGTGGCAGGCGTGGCACTTTCTCGATGCCACAAGGGGTGCGCTGGGGGTGAGGTCGCTATCCGTCTCGGCCTCGCAAAGCGAGGCAGGCGTGGCACTTCCTCGACGCCACAGGGGGTGCGCTGGGGGTGCGGTCGCTATCCGTTTAGGCTTCACAAAGCGTGGCATGCGTGGCACGTTCTCGACGCAACAGGGGGTGCGCTGGGGGTGCGGTCGCTATCCGTTTCGGCTTCGCAAAGCGTGGCAGGCGTGGTTTTTTTCTCGACGCCACAGGGGGTGCGCTGGGGGTGCGGTCGTTATCTGCTTCGGCCTCGCAAAGCGTGGCAAGCGTGGCACTTCCTCGACGCCACTGGGGGTGCGCTAGGGGTGCGGTCGCTATGCGTTTCGGGCTCGCAACGTGCTGCAGGCGTGGCACCTTGTCGATGCCACAGGCGGTGCGCTGGGGGTGCGGTCGCTATCCGTTTCGGCCTCGCAATGCGTGGCAGGCGTGGCACACTCTCGACGCCACAGGGGGGGGAGCGCTGGGGGTGCGGTCGCTATCCGCTTCGGCCTTACAACTCTCCTCTTGACTGGCGTCACCAACGGTATCGGCGGGGCAACGGCCACCAATATCATTCTCACATGCTTCACTTCAGCTACCATCACTCCAGCCATAATATGCGTATGTGGGGCTCCTCGGTAGCGTAATTGACAAGTTTGGGGGTATGTTTGAGTTTTGTTGTTTAAAATCCGCCTGTATGGAGGACATGCCCGACCTAAATCCAACCTGCTTCTGACCCACAGCCCACGCATGGGGGCGGCTTCACCCGTTCCCCTCCTGTCTATGTGGCCCCAGGTCGCACGAGGGCCCCAAGAGAAGGTCAAGATGGCCGAGATCAGTTCGAACCACGAGTGGTCAGCGGCGCTCCAGAGATACCCTAGAGATCCAAAATACGATTCACAGATCGCAGACGGCGACCCCATGATACCCACGAGAGTACCGAGATGTCCCACGACATTTCCTCCATTGCCCGAAGAGGGCCGAACGGGGGCCCAACACGCCACAAGCTTCCGAAAGTGGCCCTCGTATGGCCCTACACTTACTCCTCCTTTCCCTCGCCGTCGTCGCCGTCGTCGTCGTCGACACCGAGGGAGGCCCGAAACTTGAACATATCCAGTCGTCGGAGGTCGGAGCCCCCCCGCCTCCTGCTGGTTGGCTGTTCTGACTCGCCGTCGACAGTCCTGGGGTCCGCCTGCCTTGGCTGAAACGGCTGGCCGTCGACAGTCCCAAGTTTGGCTTGCTTCGGCTGGTGCCATTCGCCGTCTCTGACGGTTGGTGCGCAGGAGAAGGAGAAGGAGGAGGTCGAGGAGGTGCACGAGGAGGAGGGGGAAGACCAGGAGAAGTAAGAATAATATTCGTACTTTTTACAGCACTGGCGGGCCTTCGCTTCTTGCCTTTTTCGGAACCAGTTCGGCATTTTCTGGGGGCACTTCCCGTGACTCTCTTGATGCGCCCGCAGCTGTGAGACCCTCCAGGGCTGGAGCTTGCCAGAACCTAAGCACGCGCGTGGTTTTAGTTAACAATATAGTCAAAACCGTTGTCACAAGTGTCACCGTCATCGTCGTCATCATCAGCATCATCGCCAGCAGCTGCATCATCATCCTCATCCCCATCGTTCTGACCATCGCCATCATCATCAGCAGCAGCATCAGCATCATCATTATCATCATCAACATCAGCAGCATCAGCATCATCATCCTGCCCTTCCTCTTCCTCCACCACCTCCTCCTCATCCTCATCCTCATCCCCATCATCCTCACCATCGCCATCATCATCACAATGGTTCTTGTCGGTACGTTCCCAACGCGTTCTCCTTCTCCGCCTCCTCCTCCTCCTGCTCTTCCTCTGAGGCCACGAGGTTCGATCCCCGTACTCATTCAACACCGCCCCCCACGGTTTTCTCGTGATGGCGGCCCACCAGTGCCGTAATGATACCTCCCCCTTGTTCCTCCTCCTCATCATCATCCTCCTGTTATTTCTCCTCCTCCTCCTTCCCATCATGACCATCATCATAATTATCATCAGCACGATCATCAGCATCAGCATCATCATCGGCAGCAGCATCACCAGCAGCAGCAGCATCCTCTGCCTCCATCCTCATCCCTCCGCCTTCCTTGCCCGCCCCTCCTTTTCACTAGCTTTCCTCCTCCTCCCCCCTCTCTACCTCTCGGGTGCTCGCGCTGTCTCCCCCCCTCGTCGGCCGTCGGCGGCGTCGTCTCCAGATGGCCCCGCCGAGCGCGGAACTGGAGTCGCTGCTGACGCGGCCGAAGCGCAGCGCCGCGGGCGCTCGGGGCCAGCCAAAACCGCGGGGTGGAGGAGGAGGAGGAGGAGGAGGAGGAGGAGCTCCTGATCCTCGTCATCACCCTCTTCCCTCCTCCACCTCATCCTCCTCCTCCTGTTTATTATCCCTCCTTCCCTCCCTCCCCTCCCTCCCTCCCTCCCTCCCCTCCCTCCCTCCCCTACCTCCCTCCCTCCCTCCCTCCCTCCCTGCCTCCCCCCGTCTCCTTCAGTCGCTGGGACAGCCCGTCGAAAAGGAACTCGGCCTGGGTATCGGTTCGGACAGCTTGTCGCCGTCGCCGCCCGCGTCGCCGCCCATGTCGGTTCGGCTGGCTTGTTGTCGCCATCGCCGCCCGCGTCGCCGCCTCGTCGCCGCCCGTCGTCTGGGCCTGGGTGTCGGCTCGGTTGGCTTGTTGTCGCAGTCGCCGCCCGCGTCGCCGCCTCGTCGCCGCCCGTCGCCTGGGCCTGGGTGTCGGCTCGGCTGGCTTGTTGTCGCCGTCGCCGCCCCCGTCGCCGCCTCGTCGCTGCCCCCCCGCGGCGCCCCTCCCTGTTCGCATCGCAGGCTCGGCACCGAGCCGCACTGCTTCCCACTGCTCCGCACTGCCTGCGATGCGTTGCATCCTCGAGGTGCTCTTGCGCAGGCCCCCGGGACCTGCGGCGCCCTCGCCGTCGCGCGACCGGGGGGCGCGTCGCCAGCAGTGGCGGCCCCGACCTGCCGGATGCTGGCCCGAGTTCCTCCGGCGAGCCCCCCCCTGGGCCGGCGCGGCCCGGCGACGCTTGCCGGCCATGGGGCGCGGACGTCCGCGCCCTCCTGGCGCTCCCGCTGCGAGTGGCGCTCCGCAGGCTGCTGCCGACGGACGCCGAGGGCGCGGACCCGCCGACGATGGTGCCGCCTCGGCCTGCTGGCGGGCGCCCTGCCTCGACGTCGAGGCGCAGCAGGGGCTCACCGGGGCGCAGGCCAGGGAAGCGCTGGGCCTGCGCCAGCCCGCGAGGAGGGCTGCGCCGAGGCCCAGGAGCGCGACGAGCTGGACAGGTCTGGGCTCCAGGGTTGCTGCAGCGTGCGCGCGCCCGCGGCCCTAGTGAGCGTCGAGGGGGAGCAGGGCACCTGGCCCTTCAGCACGCCGCGACGTGCACCATGCGCCGCCCAGGCCAGCCGCCCAGGCTGCCGCACGAGAAACGAGGGGCCGTTGGCTCGTCGATGCCGACAGCAGCAGCGGTCAGCAGCGGGACGCTGGGCAGGGCGCGCCGCCGCCACCTCAAGGAGGCAGTCGCCCCGGCGGAGTGGGGCACCAGCTCCGCGCCCGCGCCGGGCAGCCAGGACCGCGGTTCAAGACGACGCCGAGCACGCCGAGGGACCCACGGAGGAAGCGCAGAGGAGCTGGCCGCAGAGGCACTCACGGCGCCGCTCGTGCAACGGAGGTTGCGCTTGCGCCGCCGCCAGTCGAGGCTCCACGCCCCTGGCTCCGACCAAGGCCCCGTCTACATCCCCGGATCCAACTCCAGCGCCGCGTCCGTGAGCGACGGAGGCAGCGAGGACAACAGCGAGCAGGAGGGCGTCAACGACCCGACGGGCAAGGTCTGCGGCGCGTCCTCAGAGATCGACAGGAACGCCAGACCCGACCGCGCGGGCCATGGTCATCGGCCACCTGGCCATGGACTCCCAGTTCCTGCGCCTGGCCGAGTGCGCGGGCACGGGCCGCATGCTGGCCGCGCCGAGGCCACTGCGGCCACCCGCAGCACGTCGCAGCGCATCGCCGCTGCCATCGCCGCCGAGGGCGGGCCGGCAGCTGCCCCGGGAGCGCACTGCTGAGGCGCGGCGCCGCGCAGCAGCCGAGGCGCGCGGCGCAGAGTCCGTCGGGCAGGAGGCCGGCAAGGTACGTCGTGATCTCGGCCGTGGAGTCAGACTGGAGGCCGTGATCGACTGGCACGGCGGACCTGACGGCGAGCCTGGTCATGGTCATCAGCTGCCTGGGCATGGACGCCCGATGTCGGCCCCTGGCAGAGCGCGGGGCCGGTGGCCGCCCGCCAGCTGCGCCGAGACCACGGCGGAAGCCCGCAGCACGTCGCGGCGCACTGCCGCTGTCAGCGCCTCCGAGGGCGGGCTCGCAGGCGCCCGGGGGCGCACTGCTGCGGCGCAGCGCCGTGCCGCAGCGGATGCTAGAGGCTGACGCCAGGCGAGCGGGATGGTTCCCGCTTGCGGAGCTCGGGTAAGAGCCTGGCTCCCATCCCACTAGGCGCACGATTGCACGTTCCTCATTTTCGATGGCGCTGACGACCGCGAGCGCCAGGTGCCGCCATCGCGCCTTTGTGCATTCTTCTCTTCTCTTGGCTGCGCCCCCTCGGCTGCGCGGCATTGCTTCACACCGTCTCTTTCTGTGCCGGTTCTTCGGCGGATTGTGCACATTCCATGTGTGTCCGTTTGCGTGCCTGGAGGCGCCGCGTCCTCAAGAGCGAAGGAGTGCTCTCGTCCCGCAGGCGCCCCCGGCGGGAGCAGCGCGCAGTTCGTGGTGCAGAACTGCCCGTCTCAGCTTCGTGCTTGGAAGCGCGTCGGCCTCAGGCATGCCTGAAGGCTCTCGCTTCGCAGGGGCCCCCAGCGGGCCCGTAGTCGGTTACTCCCGTTCGCGCGCGCCCCCACCCGCGCCAGACTGCCTGCTGCGTGCGCCGTCTGCCGAGGGCCGGGACAGGAGCGCGGCGGGGGCTACCAGCCTCTCCCTGGCGCGCGTGCCTGCGGGCGCGTGGCCTCAGGCGCGCACGGCGGCCCAGGCCTGAAGGAGGCCAGGCGGCCCCGAATGCTTCGCAGGCAGACCCTGTCCAGCTTCCCCGACTGCCACGCTGGCCGAGGGGCCGGCGCGGCCGCGGATGATTGCTCCTACTTGCCCGCGCTTCGGTCCCTGCCAGACGGACTGCCGCGCGCACCGTCTGTCGAGGGCCAAGATCGGGGCGCTGGGGGCTGTCATCTGGGGGCTGGCCTGCAAGCTTCGCGAGCAGGCACGCCAGTCCCCGCTGGACCCCCAAGTGGCCCAACGATCAGTTGCAGCAGTCCTGTGGACAGACGCTGAGGCGCCTCGCCTTCTCCCTCCTCATCCCTGCTCCTTTCTCTCTCTCTCTCTCTCTCTCTCTATCTCTTTCTCCCTCGCCCTGTGCCTTCCTCCTCCTCTCCTCCTGTTACTTGCGTTGAGTCGTGGAGCTCCTCCGATTATCAGTATCTGTCGTGATCTGGGGATGGGCTGCGCTGTTCGATTCCGCCCCGTCACCAAGCTCGGCGTTCTCTCCTTCCCTTGTCCAGAAATATCCAGTCACAGATTGGAAATGTTTGAAGCCATCCCGAATTTCGAAACGCACGAAGCCATTCGAGTCCCTTCGAAAGTCCGCCAATGCTTTTGGAAAGACACCGAAACCATCCCAGCAGGGTGGGCGACTCTGACTGTTTCCTTCCTATCCACCCTCGTCTTCACCACCCGCCCCCGCCTCTTGCGCCACACCGCCTCCGCCGCCCTCCTGTTTCTCATCCTCCCCTTTCCCCTGTCGCCTCTTCCGCCCCGACCTTCTCCATCACCCCCTCGTCTCCATCGGGAGTCCTTCATGATCAGGCTCATGTCCTTTTAATCCCCCCCGGCTCCGTTGTCCCCCTCCTGCGTCTCCTCGTCTGCCCATCCTCATCTGCCCTTCCTCCTCCTCCTCCTCTCCTCCTCCTCCTCCTCCTCTTCCTCCTCCTCCTCCTCGCTCCTCGTACTCCTCGTCCTCCTCCTCCTCCTCCTCCTCCTCCTCCTCCTCCTCCTCCTCCTCCCCCTCCTGATGCTGATGTTGTTGCTGTTGTTGTAGGCCTTTGTGTTTCAAAGAAAGGAAGCTTTGCCCCCTCCTTCGCGTCCTCCTCCATTTTTTTGTCTGAATACCTCCTCCCTGTCGCACCCCCTGGACGTCTCCGTGAGGCAGGCCGGTCGTTTCGCTTAAGACTTCCTCATTAGCTTTCATCCTGATTCTGAATTTCGCCAGTTTGATAATGGCGGGCGGATCGTCTTCAAAAATGTAGTTCCCGCCCTAGCACCGAGCACATTCGTCGCAAAAGTGTGCTACCGTTTCACACATGGAGGGTGGGTCGTTTTCAAAATGTGGCCCTCACCTAAGCGGCGCGCACATTCGCTTCAAGTGTGCAACAGCGTCAGGGATGGAGAGTGATTCCTTTTTCAACATGTGGTTCTTGCATTGGTGCCGCGCGCGCTCGCTCAAAAAAATCGTAACCGTTTCAAAGATTCCGTTGGTTTGAAATTCCAGGAATGGTGTTCTGGCACGATGTGGGGCTGGCAGGACGCAACACTCACGTTGATTCGCAGTGTCGAAGTCCTACGGCGTAAAATTCTCAGGACACACAATTATTTGGATGTTCGGCGTTGAAGTCCCAGGAATTGTGTATTGGTGCTTTTGAGGAGTTTCCAGCGGTTGTATTTCACTTGGGCACTTCCCGCAATGAAGATACATTCTTGTATGGGGCTACGAAGGGGGATTTCGCAGGGAGGGTCGATTGCAACATCGCTAAAACGTCTTGGGTTTACACTGGTCCTCCTCCTCCTCCTCCTCCTCCTCCTCCTCCTCCTCCTCCTCCTCCCCCTCCTCCTCCTCATCCTCGCCCCCCTCCGCCTTCACATCCGTCTTCCTTATCCTTGCTCCTTATTAACAACTCGTCCCTGCCACACCCACAGACGTGTCTGCAAGGCGGGCTGGGCGATTCGGCTGAGACTGCTTCACCATCCATGAGCTTGAAGCTTGGGGTGCGCAACATGTACCAGGGTGGAGGGGGTCGTTTTCAAAATGGGGCTCTCGTTCGGCACGTTCGTCTTTTCGGTTCGCAGCAGCTTCAAGAATGGAGGGCGGCTCCTTTTCAAGAGGGGGCCCCCTGCCTTCGCGCCGCGCAGAGCCTGCAACGAAGACAGCAATGGAGGACGGCTCCTGCTCCCGAGCGGTGTCTTCGGCTCGGGCCTCTCCGAGCTACGATCCGGAAGGGAGACCGACGGAAGCAGCAGGCAGGGAGCAAGAGGAAGGGGAGGAGGAGGAGGAGGAGGAGGAGGAGGAGGAGGAGGACGAGGAGGAGGAGGAGGAGGAGGCGGAGGGGGAGGAGGAGGAGGAGAGGAGAGGAGGAGGAGGAGGAGGAGGAGGAGGAGAGGAGGAGGAGGAGGAGGAGGAGGGGGAGGAGGGAGGAGGAGGAGGAGTGAGGAGAAGGCGGAGGAGGAGGAGGAGGAGGAGGAGGAGGAGGAGGAGGAAGAGGAAGGAAGAGGAAGGGAAGGAAGACGAGGAGGAGGCACGCGTGTGACAGCTGCACGGACGGAGGGCGGCCCCTGCTCCACACGGTGTCTCCGCTCGCGGCGGCCTCGGAGGCCCTGGCCGGACGCGCCGACGCGCGCACGAAACGCACAGGAGGAGGAGGAGGAGGAGGAGGAGGAGGAGGAGGAGTTAGGAGGAGGAGGAGGAGGAGGAGGCGGAGGAGGAGGAGGAGGAGGAGGAGGAGGAGGAGGAGGAGGTGGGGGGCTTTGCTTTTCTTGGTCCGGGGGACATCGCTGGACATGAGGCTGGGCCGTGTGATCACAAGTGCTCGCTGTCCTTGTTTTCTTTTTCGCTCGAAGGATGCAGGGCAGTTCCTTGTCAAGACGGGGCTATCGCCAGAGCAGCAGGCCCACGTGGTGTTGGTCTTCCAAGGGCGCGCACCTTACATCAAACACGAAGGCCTGCAGGGACTTGTGAGGAGGGGGCTTGGGGCGACAGGGTGTCTTGCAGCATCTGTGAAGCATCTTGGACTGACCTTGGTCACCTCATCCTCCTCTCCCTCTTCCTCGCCCACCTCCCTCTCTTCTCGGTCCTGCCTCTTTCAAGGCAGGACAGCCCATGCTCCGTGCTCTTCCTCCTCCGCCTCCTCGGCGTCTCTTCCTCCTCCTCCTCGACCCCATGGGGGGGAGGGGCGGCTTTCACCGCCTGTGCGGATGGCCGCTCCCGAGGCACTGGTTGCGACAGCCAGGAGAGCAGGTTCCGCGTCGACGCCAGCAATGAGCGGCTGCCGCAGCTGCTGGAGGGCCTGCAGGTCTGTCCGGAGGCAGACCCGGGGTCGCGCTCTGACAAGACCCACCCATAGGGGGGAGGAGCAACGAGGAGGAGGAGTAGGAGTAGGAGGAGGAGGACGACGAGGACAAGGACGAGGAGGACGAGGAGTACGAGGAGCGAGGACGTGGGGGAGAACAAGGACGAGGAGGAGGAGGAGGAGGAGGAGGAGGAGGAAGAGGAGAAGGAGGAGGAGGAGGAGGAGAAGGAGTAAGGGTGGAGCGAGGGAGGAGCAAGGGAGGAGCGAGGAGGAGGAGAAAAAGCGGGGGAGGAGCGAGGGAGGAGCGGAGAGCAGCGAGGGAGGAGCGAGGATGAGGAGGAGAAGGAGGGGAGAAGAGAGAGGGAGGGAGGGATGAAGGGAGGAGGGGTTCTCCTCGTCCACCTCCTCCTCCTCCTCCTCCCCCTCCTCCTCCCCCTTCTCCCCCTCCACCTCCTCCGACTCCTCCTCCTCCTCCTCCTCTTCCTCCGTTTCCTCTTCCTGGGGGGGCATAAAGAGGAAGAGGAGGAGCGAGGCGGAGCGAGAAGCAGGAGCTGGAGCAGGCACGGGAGGGGAAGGAGGAGGAAGAGTGAGGAGGAGGGAGCGAGGGAGGAGGAGGGGCTCCTCCTGCATGAAGGCGCAGCCCTCGCCGCGCCGGGACAATGTCCGCAGAGTCGACAAGGGCTCCGCCTCGAGCGTGCTGGGCCGCGTGCGCAACAGCCTGGAGAGCAACTACGGCTCTCTCAACGTGGCCTGGAGGCACATCGAGGCGGCCGGCAACAAGGGCATCAGATGAGAAGCGGCAGCAGCAGCAGCAGCAGCAGCAACGGGAAGAGGAGGGCACAGGAGGGGCCCAGGAGGAGGCAGAAGGATAATGCACAAAAAGGCTGCAGGAGGCAGGAGCGGGAGAGGAGGGAGGAGCAGGAGGAGGAGCGCTTCGGGCCGTCACGTCTCCCTTGTCCCTCTCCATACTCATGCACCCGGTTCTCCTCCTCCACCTCTTCTTCCTTCTCCTCCTCTTCCTCCAAAGCGCTCACAGTGGTGATTGTCGTCACTTCCTCACCCCCATTCCTCTTTTCCTCCTCATCCTTCTCCTCCTGCTCCTCCTCCGCCTCCTCCTCCACCTCCTGATTGGGTAATGTTGTGTCGAATGTATCAGCGTGGCCGTTTGGAAAATCTAGTAAGGGCTATAGAACAAGTTATGTGCATCAGTGGAGCCGATACGTATTCAAGGGAATTCGTATCATATGGGTTTTATATTGTCTCCTCCTCCTCCTCCTCCTTCTCCTCCTCCTCCTGCTCCTCCTCGACCTCCTCCTCCTCTCCCTCCTGCGGCCGGTGGTGTTTTACCCTGCCCACTCTCGCCCATCCGCATACTCTACCCTGTGAGCAGTTGATAGAACGGCTATGCATACGGCGTCGTTCCTTGACATTCGCCCTTGGCCTCGGCAGACCCTGGCGGCATGGACGGCGGAGGCAGTGGTAGGGACAAGGCATGGAAAAGCTGACTAATACTACAAAGACTGCTCGTGCACATGGGGTCCGAACAAAGAGAAAAACTGTTGTAACTGTTTCAGTGTAAGTTGCATGAGGGGGTGGTGTTCGGATGC